TAAACCCCTAAACCCCTAAACCCCTAAACCCCCTAAACCCCTAAACCCCTAAACCCCTAAACCCCTAAACCCCCTAAACCCCTAAACCCCTAAACCCCTAAACCCCTAAACCTCAATCCTTAAGGCTGTCTTCTTCTTGCCACAGTCGCTCGTGATGCAAACCTTCAACCCTGGGTTTGTTGGGGCTTCCGGGTCCGGGAAAGGGATGGTCGCAGGCCCGCGTGTTAAGACCGGGGCTTAGGGTTTAGGGTTTAGGGTTTCGGGTTTAGGGTTTAGGGTTTGGGGTTTAGGGTTCTAGGGTTTAGGGTTCCTAAACCCTAAATCCTAAACCCTAAACCTCAATCCTTATCTGGGTTGTGGGGGTAGCTGAGTCATAAAGACCCAAGGAAGGTGTAAAGGGGTCTCTTTGGGCCTCATGAAGGCCTTCAGGTGCCCTCCTCATGACCCCCTCCTCCCTCCAGACTTTCATGACTACCCTAAACCCTAAACCCTAACCCCTAAACCCTAAACCCTAAACCCTAAACCCTAAACCCTAAACCCTAAACCCTACACCCTACACCCTAAACCCTCTCTACCATATATATTTAAACCATAATTGTAGTTTCAAAATTTGGCCGCTTTTATTTTTAGAATTTGGCCGCTTTATTTTCAGAATTTGGCCGCTTTATTTTCAGAATTTGGCCGCTTTATTTTCAGAATGAGCCAAAATCAGGCCAAAGGCTAATTGAATTTCAGAAGTTGGCCGCTTTATTTTCAGAATTTGGCCGCTTTATTTTCAGAATTTGGCCGCTTTATTTTCAGAATTTGGCCGCTTTATTTTCAGAATTTGGCCGTTTTTGGCTTTCTCAATGTAGTGGGATTCTCTGGGTGGGTGGGTGTTATATCCGAGCGTAAATAAAGCTTAACCATAAAGCTGCTCGACCCGGAGTGCTGAACCCTAAACCCTAAACCCTAAACCCTAAACCCTAAACCCCAAACCCTAAACCCTAAACCCTAGACCCTAAACCCTTTTCCAAGCAGATGACAGTACATGAAGACAGTATCCTTTTGGTGTGTGGTATTTCGTAAGTCCGAAGCCCAAGCCCGCAGTGATTTGAAATCGTTATCAATCCACGCTCGTTGCGAAGACGGTTTAGGGTTTAGGGTTTAGGGTTTAGAGTTTAGGGTTTAGGGTTTAGGGTTCAGGGCCTGCCAAGCCCGAACTCCTCACCAGCCAAGCTTTATCCACCCATCAAATGTTCGGGCTTAGGGTTTGGGGTTTAGGGTCGTCGGATGAGATCCGCCCCGCACTCCTCCGACATCAGCACCCCTTGCCCTCGCAACAAACCTCCGAAGCAACCCCGCAACAAGCCTAAACCCCGAACCCCCTCCCAAGCAAAGCCCACAACGCTCTGCAAGCCCAAGCCCTAAACCCTAAGCACTAAACCCCAAACCCTAAACCCTAAGCCCTAAACCCCAAACCCTAAACCCCAAACCCTAAACCCTAAGCCCCAAACCCCCAAACCCTAAACCCAAGCCCTAAACCCTAAACCCTAAAAACGCAGACCTTGAGGAGGTTCCAATATCCTTCCTGCAGACCTGGCAGCTGACACAGCAGCTCCTGGGCTGAAACAGCGGGTTTAGGGTTTGGGGTGTAGGGTTCGGGGTTTGGGGTTTAGGATTTGGGGTTTAGGGTTTAGGGTTTGGCGTGTAGGGTTCGAGGTTTGGGGTTTAGGGTTTGGGGTTTAGGATTTGAGGTTTAGGGTTTGGGGTTTGGGGTGTAGGGTTTAGGGTTTGGCTTCAGGGTTTGGGGTTTAGGATTTGGGGTTTGGGGTTTGCGGTTTAGGGTTTTTGAGGGTTTAGTGTTTTGGGGTTTCGGGCTGTGCTGTTCGGGCATTGTCGGGGGGTTTGAGGGTTTAGGTGCTTAGGGTTCGGGGTTGAGGCGGTCACTCCGTCAAGATCTGAAACCTGCACGAAGAAAAGGCGGCTGAACCCTAAGCCCTAAACCCTAGCAACAGGTCGGCTAAACCTCAACCCTCACAAACAACCCTCGACCCGACACCCGATTGGGGTTGTTTGAATGCTGGGAAGTTCAAGCAGGCTTTTTGGGATTTCAGGGTTTCTTTTTGGGGTGCTCCGCCTTATCCTAACAGTCCTTACCATAATCCCTATTGAGGACTGTTAGCATAAGGAGGAACATCCCAAGTTTCTTTCTTTGCAGGGAGCTTAGGAGGGTTTAAGGCTTCAAGTGTCGGATGGAATGGCTCAGGGTCTTTGTTGACAAAGGACGCGTAGCAAAGCCTGAACGCGTAAACCCTAAACCAAAAACCCTAAAGGCTAAGCCTTAAGCCTAACCCCTAAACCTCTAAACCCCTAAATCCCTAAACCCGTAAACCCCCAAACCCCTAAACCCCCAAACCCCTTAAACCCGTAAACCCCGAAACCCTAAACCCTAAACCTTAAACCTTCCAACATGGCTACCTGAGCTTTCTTTCATGCATGTGTCCGTGATCTTTCTAGGCATCGTGCGCCAGAGCCCTCGACACTGAAAACCGGTCCGCGGGTAGCTATAGCCAGTTCTGAGTCGGATTGCAGGCGCCCACCCTCCTACATAATCCCTAAGCCCAAACCCTAAACCCTAAACGCAATACCCATAAACCCTAAACCCTAAACCCTATGGTCCAGTCAAAACCCACTCTGAGGCTCTCGCAGTCTCACAGCCCAGCGAGCCTCTCCAAGCTGACGGAGGGCCTCCAGCAGATGGCCGCCGCACGCAGCCAGCAAGGCCTGAGGTGTTTTTATGAATTTATTAAATGATTCTTATCAAGATGATTATTAGTGTCCTTCTTCTTCTTCTTCTTGTTATTCTTGTAATATTTATTTTTGTATTTTGTTATTTGTTATTTGTTATTTGTTATTTGTTATTTGTTATTTGTTATTTGTTTTTCTTTTTTGAGGGGGGGTTAGGGTTTGGTTTGGTTGCGTTTTGGGATTTAAGGTTTGTGGGATGTGGGCCATTTTCGGGTTTCGGGTTGTTGGTTTTGGGTTTTAGGCGTTGTTCCTAGGGACTTTAGGATTCAGGGTTCAGGGTTTAGGGTTTAGGGTTTAGGGTTTGGGGTTATTGAGGGTCCAAGGGGGTTTCCGGTGAAGTTCAAGTTGAGGCTGGTCTGCAGGTGATGCCAGCTGCTCTTACGTTAGGATGCGTAGCCCGGGGGACAGTGATTTCGACTAAACCCTAAACCCTAAACCCTAAGCCCTAAATCGAAACCCTCGACCCGAAACAAAAAGCTTCAAGCACAAAAACCCCAAACCGCACCTCCAAGTAGGATTCGGGTTTTGCGGGTGCCGGGCAGTCCTGAGCCGAAGCTATACTTGGGTGTACTCTACAACCCTTGTTGCTCATTTTAGAAACACTATAACCCGCATTACTGATGATAGAACCCCCCCCCCCCCCCTCCAAAAAGAATCGGCACCCTTAATTTTTCGGATGCACCCTGTTGGAAGTGGGGTGTGAGGTCCCAGCGTCAAACCCTTCAGCTACCCCAAGAAGGTTTAGGGTTTGGGTTTAGGGTTTAGGGTTTAGGGTTTAGGGTTTAGGGTTTAGGGTTTAGGGTTTAGGGTTTAGGGTTTAGGGTTTTACCGCTTACTTGCTAGCCGATGGCCGGTAATCCCAAGTTGAACAACCTAGAACTTTCAAATGCTCGGAAGAGAACCCTCAACCCTAAACCCTAAACCCTCAACCCTCAACCCTCAACCCTCAACCCTCAACCCTCAACCCTCAACCCCCGCCTTAGACCCCAACTGCCCCAAACCCGAAGCCCACGGCAACGCGTAGGCACCGCCCTGGACATCCCCACTTCCAGTGCCCTGAATGGGATCCGAGAGCAGATGGAGACGATCAAGAAAGACACGGAGGCTGAAACCTAAACCTCTCAGCCCGAAACCTTAAACTGAAGGCCTAAACCCTAAACCGCAAACCCTATCAGCCCTAAACCCTCAGCCCTAAGCCCTAAACCCTAAAACCCTATCAGCCCTAAGCCCAACCTAAACTCCTGATGGACACGGCAGAGCCCTAAGCGTGACTGAGAGCACCAAGGTCTTGCTTGGTGTGTGTGTGTGTGTGTGTGTGTTGTGATACATCGTGGTTCCCGAAATGGATGATTGTTTTCCGCCTGTAGGAGGCTTTGGTGGCATTACTGCGAGCACGCATGTCGCCTGTGTCAGTATAAAACTTGGATGTCGCAGCGACATGGCCAAGGACGCCTGCCGCGGAGGCCCGCTGTCGTGCTGCATAGTGGTTCCCGATATGATTTTTCCGCCTGTAGGAGGCGTATGTGGAGCGCGAACGATGTTCCCGAGTAATTCATGTCTTTCTTGCAGCCGGTTCAGCGCCTGCTTTGGTGCGTCGCCCCACGGCGCATATGTGTGTGTGTGTGTGCAACCTGCTGTACATGCAGGATTGGGGTCACGCCCTTTCTCAACTTCATGCGGGGGGACGCAGCACATCACTGGGACTGCGTCCAACGAAGCTACCAGTGATGTGGGAAGCCGGAGTTGGCCGCTCCGGTGTACCTGCTCAATACAGATTTGTGACATCATCCATCGTGTATGCTTTGCATTGTTGAATCTATTGAACATCCTCGCTGTGCAATTCCGAATGAGCCATCTGTTGGAAAGCAATTGACAGATTGCCGCGACAAATGCAGCTCGAGACATCGAGCAAGGAAGTGTCTGTGTGTGTTGTGCCTGCAGCAATCCGGTCAGTCAGGAGTTTCGACTTCAGAATCTTTGCAAGTTCCCGGACCATGTCACTTTCGAGGCCAGTGCTTTTGCCTCGGCCCACAGCTGTGCACAAGCGGAGTGTCATACACATCAGCCCAAGTTACCGAAGAGGCTGCGCAGCAAAAAGTTGTTGGGTCCATTGACGGACTTCCATCACAGGTGAGCCGACTTTCGTGCGTTGATTCAGTCAAGGCCAGCGTGAAAGTTGCAAGATGCTTTTGAGGGTTCTGTGATGCTTGATGTTGTCCAGTCGAGTGTCCGTCTCATCAGTTCCAGACAAGTCAACGTGTGTGTGTGTGTGTGTGTGTGTGTGTGTGTTTGTTTTAGGTACTTTAGGGCTTAGGATTCACTTTGGGAATCAGAAGGTTAAGGGTTTGGGGTTTAGGGTTTGGGGTTTAGGGTTTAGGGTTCAGGGTTCAGTGGTTGTCGTAATTGGGAGCTTTCGGGTTTAGGAGCTCCTGGGTTCTGAAACCCTAAACCCCAAACCCCAAACCCTAAACCCGAAACTCTAAACCTTAAACCCGAAACCCTAAACCCGAGACTTGCCCCTGAGTCGGAGCACCAGCTGGCCATCCATCAGCTCAATGAGCTCTACGGTGCCATAACGAGCTGCACGGCCCCCGCCACCACGAAGCAGCAGAGTGCCAAGGAAGGGTTTAGGGTTTAGGGTTTAGGGTTTCGGGTTTAGGGTTTCGGGTTTAGGGTTTAGGGTTGAGGGTTGAGGGTTGAGGGTTCAGGGTTTAGGGTTTAGGTTTAGGTTTTTTTGGTTCTTGAGGGCAGAAGGGAGAAGGTTATGGGAAGTGTTGGTTTGCCTTGTAAGTAGGATAGAACTGGTCATGAGCTACACTTGCAACCCTGCCTATAACCCTAAACCTTAAATCCTAAACCCCGCCTTACACCCTAAACTCATCAAACCTAAGCCCTCAACCCCAAACCCCGAAACCCCCCTCGGGCCTTGCTGGTGGGTTTCAGCCAGGACAAACTCCAGACCCAGCACGACACCTGCAGAACAGAAGAGGCCGCTGCGAAGGGCTTCCTTCTCAACGCTCAGGTGGGTCACCCAGACAAGGAAGCTGCGTACATTTCAACCCCAGGCCCCAAGCCCTAAGGCCAAAGCCCTAAAGCCCTAAAGCCCTAAAGCCCTAAAGCCCTAAAGCCCTAAAGCCCTAAAGCCCTAAAGCCCTAAAGCCCTAAAGCCCTAAAGCCCTAAAGCCCTAAAAAGCCCTAAAGCCCTAAAGCCCTAAAGCCCTAAAAGCCTAAAGCCTAAGAAGCCCTAAAGCCCTAAAGCCTAAAGCCCCCTAAAGCCCTAAAGCCCTAAAGCCCTAAAGCCCTAAAGCCCTAAAGCCCTAAAGCCCTAAAGCCCTAAAGCCCTAAAGCCCTAAAGCCCTAAAGCCCTAAAGCCCTAAAGCCCTAAAGCCCTCGCCGATGTTGCAGAACGGCAGAGACAAGACAGGCCCCCCTCAAAATCAGGTGGAGTACGAGGCCCTGACAAACCCGCCGCAGCCTTGCTACGGGCAATTCAACGATGGCCTCCTGGGGAAGCTCGAAGATCACGAGGCGAGGAGGCTACAGTCTCCTTGTAAATTTGTGTGTGTGTGTGTGTGTGTGTGTCAGTGTGTGTACTTGTAAGTATACAGACCTCCAAGGGAATTGTTTGAACATGTGCTTGTGGTGCTTGCAAGGGGCGGGAATAGGTGTAGGGTCCTTTGGATGTTAGGGTTTAGGGTTTAGGGTTTAGGCTTTAGGGATGCGAAACCCGTGCTGTGGCAAGGTGATGATGTCCTGCATCGAGAAGACCCTCGGCCGGGGAACGGGGAGTGGGGGCCTACGGCAAGAACGCACCGCCAAAGGGGTTTGAGTGCTACAGTACCCCAACTAGGCTTAGAGCCCGTGCCTACCCCACCCATCAAACTCCTTCCTTTGGTGGGAAGCAAAGTGCCTAGTTCAACCCTAAACCCAAAACCCTAAGCTCTAAGCCCCAAACCCTAAACCCCAAACCCCGAAACCCCTAAACCCCTAAGCCCCACACGTCTCCCAGGATCCAGGACTGGGCCAAGGCCCTGCGCAGTGGGGGGCCGAGGAAGAAGTCCAATTACGACAAGGCCAAGGCAGGCCAAGGGTCGGAGCGGTTTGGGGTTTAGGGTTTAGGGTTTAGGGTTCAGGGTTCAGGGTTCAGGGTTCAGGGTTTAGGGTTTTGGGGTCTGGGGTCTGGGGTTTAGGATTTAGGTTTTAGGGTCTAAGGGTTAGGGAGAGACTCCAAAGCCCCTTGATTAAGGAATGTACCTGAAATCATACCAGGGTTCCTAGTATAAATTAAGGGTATAAATTAAGGGACATTAATTCACAAAGGGTTTTTGGAGTCTCTGACCCAGGGTCGGGGGGGTTTGGGGTTTAGGGTTTCGGGCTTGGGGTTTTGGGGGTTTGGGGGTTTGGGGGTTTGGGGGTTTAGGGTTTTGGGTTTAGGGATTGGGGAAGTTGTTGAGGATTTGAGGGTTCGGGTTTGGGGCCTTGGGGTTGTTGGGGGAGGTTTCGGGTTTGGGGCTGTTCAGGGATACCGGGTTATAAATTATGGGAGGGTTTGAGTGTGTTGATGTTTAAGGCTTGAAGTTTTGGAGGTCATAGGGTTGAGGCGCGTCGCGTTTTGTAATTTTAGGGTTTAGGCGTTGTTTCGGAAGGGGGGGGGGGTGAGTGTCGATGCTTTCAAGACTTCTTGTTTGGGGGGGGGGGGGGGGGGTGGGTGTTTGGTGTGGCTTCTTGTGGTTTGGTTCTGGGTTCTTTGAACTCGGGGCCCTCAACCCACTAGATCCTATAACCCAGAACCCTATGTCCTCACACCCGAAACCCCAGGGATGAGGTGGAAGTTGAGGTGCCCACTAGATCCTCAAGCCCTAAACCCGAAACCCTATTTCCCTAACCCCTAGGGCTTGGGTGGAAGTTGAGGTGCTAGCCCTAAATCCCAAAACCCTAAACCCTAAACCCTAAACCCTAAATCCTAAAACCCTAAACCCTAAACCCTAAACCTTAAACCCTAAACCCCAGGGCTGAGGTGGAATTTGAGGCTTTGGAGCATCTTTCCGCAGGAGCGGTACATCAAGAAGCTGGCATCGTGCAGTAGCCTGCAGCATCAGCTCCTTGCCGATTTGGGGGGGGCTGAGGGAGTTTCCAAGATTTAGGACCCTAACCTCTAAGCCCTAAGGCTTCAACCCCAAACCCCTGCGGCTCCGTCATTCTATGCCATGACGACTAAACAATGCCACGCAGCGCTTGCAAGAACTTCCCCTGACCCTTCCCCGCTCCCAAAGCCCCTCAACTCCTGAACGCACCACACCCCCCGCCCCCACCCCACCCCAAAGTCCTGCTAGACCCTACCTAGAAGTAGAGTAGGTACCCTTTCACCTTTCCGGGGCATTTGCGTCCCAAAAAGGTGATTCCTCTAAATCATGGTCCTTCTTGGGCTTATGATCAGGCGGCCCCTCTTATTTAGGGAGCCATAGTTTAGCGAACTGACTTGGGACGTTCCCCCTTATACTAGCAGTCCTCCGTAATAATTCTAGTACCCCGTGTTACAATCCCTGCTAAGGACTGTTAGTATAAGGACCCTAAACCCTAAACCCTAAACCCTAAACCCTAAACCCTAAACCCTAAACCCTAAACCCTAAACCCTCAACCCTCAACCCTCAACCCTCAACCCTCAACCCTCAACCCTAAACCCTAAACCCTAAAACCCTAAACCCTAAACCCTAAACCCTAAACCCTAAACTTCGTGTCAAAAAAACCCCAAAACGAACCCCGGCAGCCTAGGGCTCTGCACCCCTCCCCCCTCCCCTTACCTAGGCAGGCCCCTGAGGGTTTAGGGTTTAGGGTTTAGGGTTTAGGGTTTAGGGTTTCGGCTTTAGGGTTTAGGGTTTAGGGTTTAGGGTTTGGGTTTGGGTTTGGGGTTACCAACAAGTTTTCCTAGAACCCTTAAACCCAAGTTCCTTAAACCGTAAACTCTTAAAGCCCTCAAACCCTAAACCCTTAGAACCTTAAACCCTCAAAACCTTAAACCCCTTAAGCCCTTAAGACCCTTGAGCTCTTAAACCCTTAACCCGGTTACAACCCTTAAAACCCTTAAAAGCCCCAAAGAGTCAGTCACTTCCAAAGGTTCGAGAGCAGCTTCTGCGAGCTCACCCTCAAACTCTTAGACCCTCAAAACCTTAAAAACCCTTAAAACGCCCCAAAGGGGTCAGACCCTTAAACCTTAAAGCCCTTAAACCCTTAAAACCCTTAAGCTCTTAAGACCCTCAAACCTTTAATAACCTTAAAAGCCCTCAGGTTCGAGAGCAGCTTCTGCGAGCTCCGCACGACTGTGGACGACTCATGCACGAGCCTGACGACGTGCTTCGAGCAGAGCCTGGGATGAAAAGGATGAGAGGGGTTTAGGGTTTGGGGTTTGGGGTTTAGGGTTTGGCCGTTGCGTTTGGGGGCTTAGGGTTCAGGGCCGAGGGTTTCGGGCTCAGGGTTGGTGTGTGGCGTTCGTTTCTCGGGGTTGCGAGATACAAGGCCTCACCCTCGAGCTCTACGTACTCTTCGGGTTTAGGGTTTAGGGTTTGGGGTTTAGGGTTTAGGGTTTAGGGTTTGGGGTTTAGGGTTTAGGGTTTTGACAAGAAAGACACATCCGAGTCTTGCAAAACTCTGGAAAGCATCGACGCTTTCGCCCGGGGAGGTTGGGAGGAGGGCTCGGGGAAGTCGCCTGGAGCCAGAGGGTTTAGGGTTTAGGGTTTAGGGTTTAGGGTTTAGGGTTTAGGGTATTAAGGGCTGTTAGTATAGGGAACATCCCAACACCCAACCCACAGCCACGGGAACCCCAAGAGGCCCTAAAGTCCTGAAACCCGATTCCCCTAAAACCCCAAAACCTAAAGCACCATTCCCCCAAAGCCGCCCAAAACCCTAAAACCCTAAAATGCCCTCAAGCCCCCCCCCCCCCCCCGCCCCTATACCGAAAGACAAGAGAGGAACACAGCCTAAACTCTAAACCCGAAACCCTAAACCTTCAACCCTAAACCCCAAACCCTAAACCCTAAACCCTAAACCCTAAACCCTAAACCCTAAACCCTAAACCCTAAAGAGGAACCTGGCCATCTGGGAGAAGTCCAAGCCCGACTTCAAGACGCTCGAGGGCTCCCGCAAGGCCACTTTCCAGGCGGCGGAAAAGGTGCTGTGCTCCTTGGAGGTTATGATCATTATTATTATTATTATGATGTTTATCATTATGATTATGATTCTTATTATGATGTTTATCATTATGATTATGATTATGATTATGATTATGATTATTGCTGTTATGATTATTACATCATCATCATCATCATCATTATTATTATTATTATTATTGTTTTACCCTAGACCCTTAACCCGCAACCCGAAATCGGGACGCAAGAGGTGCACCGATAGTTTCAACACTTGCAAGCCCAGTTACTGCAACCCTCAACCCTCAAGCCTCAAGCCTCAACCCGCAACCCTCAACCTTCAACCCTCAACCCTCAACCCTCAACCCTCAACCCTCAACCCTCAACCCTCGACCCTCGACCCTCGACCCTCAACCCTCAACCCTAAGCACCAAAATCTCGAACTCCTCTAAGTGCGAACTGAAGGCCTGGTCACGGAGATGTTGAAGCCCGTGGTGAAGGAGGCGGACATCGCAAAGTGCGACAAGCTGATGGTGGAGCGCTGGGGTTTAGGGTTTAGGGTTTAGGGCGGGGGTTGAGGGCTTTCCCCTGGTTCTCAGTCGGGAAGGAGGGAATTTCGGGTCCTTTTAGGGAGCGTATGGGTACCTCATTCCCTCATTCCCTACTACGATTCTAGGGCCCCTTAAGGGAGTGAATAGGTACCTCATTCCCTCGTTCCCTACTAAGAAGCTAGGGCCCATGGGTACCTCATTCCCTCCTTCCCTACTAAGAACCTGTCGAGGTTTACCCTAAACCCTAAACCCTAAACCCTAAACCCTAAACCCTAAACCCTAAACCCTAAACCCTAAACCCTAAACCCTAAACCCTAAACCCTAAACCCTAAACCCTAAACCCTAAACCCTAAACCCTAAACCCTAAACCCTAAACCCTAACCATAAACCCTAAACCCTAAACCCTAAACCCTAAACCCTAAACCCTAAACCCTAAACCCTAAACCCTAAACCCTAAACCCTAAACCCCTAAACCCTAAACCCTAAACCCTAAACCTTAAACCCTAAACCCTAAACCCCAAACCCTAAACCCTAAACCCTAAACCCTAAACCCTTAACCCTTTCAGGGGTTTGGGGGCGTTGCTTCGGATTGCGGGTCGATGGGGGTCAGGCGGCGTAGGCTCTTGAGTTGGCCTCAGGTTTGGGTTTTCGGTTCTTTGAGTTCTTTGGGGTTTAGGGTTTAGGGTTTAGAGCTCAGGGTTTAGGGTTTAGGGTTAGGGCTGAGGGTCTTGGGCTTGGCGTTCTGGCCTAGAACGCTGTCGAATTTTGATCCAAGCATGCGAGTTTTCGGAAGCAAGCCAAAGGAAAGGGGGGGGGAGCATGGACGCATATAAGATTCTTGGGTTATGGAAACCTTATGGAACCCTACACGTGGTACTCAACCTTACAACCTTACAGGCTGTAGGGTTTCGGGTTCGGGGGTCAGGACCTCAAGCCCTAAAGGGTTCAGGGTTTCGACTCATGGCCTTTCTAAGGTAGTTTCAACGGCCCTTAATATGGTCCCCTAACTTTCTTCAAATGGGCCCTTGGGTTGTATAGGAAAAACAAGGGGTGCAAAAGGGGCCCATACTAAGAGGCCATGCAGCTACCCTAAGAACCCACGAGGCTCCCGAAGACATCCCCGATTTTTCAAGGACACATCCTCGCTGACCCTGCCCGCCTTCCGCAAAGCGCCACCCGCGCCCATCTGCGACACCTCGGCCGTGGCCACCTTCCCCTGCAGCTGGGTGTCATTTTAGGGGGTTGATGGATGTATTGATGTAAGGATTTAGGGTTGAGGGTTGAGGGTTGAGGGTTGAGGGTTTAGAGTTTAGGGGGTTTAGGGGTTTATCGGGGGTTTATGGGGGTTTAGGGGGTTAAGGGTTGAAGGATGTAGGGTTAGAGGTTGAGGGATGTAGGGTTTAGGGTTGAAGGATGTAGGTTTAGGGGTTGAGGGATGTAGGGATTACAGTAAACGTTGAGGGATGTAGGGTTTAGGGGTTGAGGGATGGGTTGAGGGATGTAGGGTTTAGGGGTTGCAGGATGTAGGGTATAGGGGTTGCAGTATGTAGGGATTAGGGTTTAGGGGGGTTTGGGGTGTTTGAAGGGTCTTAAGAGGGCTTCAACGGTTTTGGGGGTTCGGGGGATATGTGTGTGCCTGTGTGTGTGTGTGTGTGTGTGTGTGTGTGTGTGTGTGTGTGTGTGCAATATATGTATACATGTATGTGTGTTCTATATATGTATATATATATATATATGATTCAGCCCCGGCGGGCCCCCCCCCCCTCCCCCCTACCCCCCCCCCCCCCCCAATGGTACCCCCCCCCCCCCCTGTGGTGTGGTTGGGGGTTGGTTTTAGGGTTTTTTAGGGTTTAGGGTTTAGGGTTTTAGGGTTTTAGGGTTTTAGGGTTTAGGGTTTAGGGTTTACTTTAGGGTTTAGGGTTTAGGGTTTAGGGTTTAGGGTTTAGGGTTTTCCCCGCGGATGGGGTACTAAGATGATCCCCCCCCCCCTGTGGTGTGGTTGGGGGTTGGTTTTAGGGTTAGGGTTTAGGGTTCAGGGTTTTAGGGTTTAGGGTTTAAGGTTTAAGACTTAAGGTTTAGGGTTTAGGGTTAGGGTTTAGGTTTTAGGGTTTAGGGTTTAGGGTTTAGGGTTTGGGGGTTTAGGGTTTAGGGTTTAGGGTTTAGGGACCGTAGAGTAGACTTGGGGGGGGGGGGATACCATGGGGGGGGGGGGCCCAGGACGCTCGACGCTGAACCATATATATATAGTTTTTCTCGGTTTTGAGCATTGCTCCAGGGCAAGGAAAGCTAGACAATGGCCGCACATCACTGCGGAACCTTCATGTCCAGATACACACACTTAGGGCTATCGGGCTTCAGATTCTGAGGTGTTTGGGGGTTGCGGAACCCATCTTAATGCGACGCCGAGGTGAGAAGGGCTTCCTTCCCCTGTACTACACCGGCCAGGACTGGTATGACGCGGCCCCGACAGACCCGTGCACGCCCTGCACCTTCTCGCCGAGCACAACCGCAACCACCACCGGTACAAATCCGCCCCCCTAAACCCGAAACCCGAAACCAGAGTCCCTCCAAAAAATGGAAGTTTAACGTGGGCCAGCAGCCATCGGGGCCCAAAGGCCCCCGAGGCTCAAAGTCTTTAACGCAGGCCTGCGGTCGCTGAGAGGGTGATGCCCCACGCTTCAAGAGCTGCGGCTTTTCCTCCCTCCGGTTGCGACGCGACGTGTCATCGCACATCCGTCAGAAACAGCCCGCCACCCCCAAGCAAGACCCCAAAACACCCCAAGCCTTCCCCCTTCCCCCCCCCCCCCCCAAACCTTGATTGACTTTTAGGGAATGCCCAAAAGGAGGTACCCTTCTTGGAGGGATCCTCGAATAAGTATTACGATATTTGGGGGGGGGGGGGGGGGGGGGGGGCAAACTAAGCTCCCCTAGCTTGAGAAATCCACAACCGAGCCGTAAGCCCAAACCCCCACTTGGAGGTTCAGGGTACTTCGTAACCCATTAGAAGTGTACTTATAACCCACTTAGAAGCCCCTTAAGTGCCCCAAAGTATGCTGACAGTTTGGGTTATACGTGCAGTGATGCTTGGTTAATAAGTACCATGAACCTCCGAGCAAACCCCCAAACCCCCAAGCCGCTGAGTCCGCGAAGGCCGAGATCTCGAGGGCCCCCCAGGGCTCAACATCCGCTCCAAGTGTTCTAAAGCCTCAAACCCTGAACCCCTGAGCCCCTAAACCCCTGAGCCCCTAAAAACCCTTCATGCGTACGCTCCTAAGCCAGGGCCCTAAACCCTAAACCCCAAACCCTAAACCCTAAACCCTAAACCCCAAACCCTAAACCCTAAACCCTAACAACCCCGAGATCCAGCTCGCGCAGCACAGCGCTGTCCCCCCCCCCCGCTGCGCCCCCATGGGAAACCCGAACGAAGTGGCCGCGGACGAGGGCGGCCCGGAGAGCGGCCGGGAGGGTGGCGAGGAGAGCTCTGGGGGGGGGTTACAGGGCTTGGGATTTGGGGTTGTAGGGTTTAGGGTTTCGGGTTTCGGGTTTCGGGTTTCGGGTTTAGGGTTTAGGGTTTCGGGTTTGGGGTGTACGGTGTACGGGTGTTATGAGGTTCCAGGTTTGGGGCTTCAAGGTTTACCGTAAACCTGAACCCCCCCCCCCCCCGTCCGCACCTCACTCCCCAAGCCGAAGGATCGACTGGCCCGGCTCCAGGACAAACTGGGTTTAGGGTTTGGGGTTTAGGGTTTAGGGTTTGGGGGTTTGGGGTTTAGGGTTCAGGGTTTAGGGTTTGGGGTTTAGGGTTTGGGGTTTGGGGTTTGGGGTTTGGGGTTTGGGGTTTAGGGTTTAGGGTTTAGGCTCCAGGACATACTGGACCGCTTCGAGGTCACCATTGCCGAAGCGCAGCGCGGACCTGTTTTGGGGCAGCTTGGGGGTTGAGTGGGTTTAGGGTTTAGGGCTACTAGGGCTTAGGGTTTAGGGTCTAGGGTTTAGGGTCTGGGGCTCAGGGTTTAGTGGGTTTAGGGTTTAGGGTTTAGGGTCTAGGGTTTAGTTTTTCTTCGGAGTGATGCGTATGACGATTATTACTGTGATTCGCATGGTCAGCATGTATCATGATTAGGTGTGGACGTGCCTTTTTTTTTGGGTTTGAATGGGTTGAAGCCTTCGGAGCCTTCGTAGTCTGAGGTTTAGGGTCAAAGGAGTCTTTGTGGCCGGCCTGCGGCTGCCAGGAACGACTTGGTTGTCTTGGAGGACTATGAGATCGTCCTGATTCTGGACGACTCGGGCAGCAGCCGGGCATCAATTGTTTTTTTTGCCAGAACCTAACCTTGAAGCCTACTAAACCCTAAGTCCCCAAACTCTGAACCCTAAACCCTGCAGCCGACTCCCTTTTTGAATGTGCCCCATGGGTTTGGGGTTTAGGCTTGTCCGGAAGAGCCAGTTGACTTTGCCGCACTTGCCTAGTTTGTGGCGGCGTGACTAGTCCATGTGGACCCCGCTTGCACCCCAAGGACACCCCCTAGCCTGGCCCAAATCCCAAAATCCAAAACCCTAAACCCTAAACCCCAAACCCTAAACCCTAAACCCTAAACCCTAAATCCTAAACCCTAAACCCTAAACCATCCTAAACCCTAAACCCTAAACCAGCCAGGCATGAACATGTCAGCTCTGCCCACCGGCCAGCGATCTCTGATGGATGCCAAGATCTCACGCAGCTGGACCAGCAGCTTAAGGTTGGTTTAGGGTTTAGGGTTTAGGGTTTAGGGTTTAGGGTTTAGGGCTAAGGGTTTAGGGTTAAGGGTTTAGGGTTAAGGGTTTAGGGTTTAGGGTTTAGGTCTTAGGGCTTGGGGTTTGGGGTTTGGGTTTGGAATCTAAGGCTCAGGGTTTGGTGTTGCGGGTTTTGGGTCTAAGGTTTGGACTTCGGACTTCGGGCGGAGGGTTTTGTTGTTGACGTTGGTCGACCGTTAGTCCTATGTCAGGCGGGTTTGCAGATTTTCCGGATTTGATGGCCATGTCTTGATGGTCATGTTTTGGGGTTACGGGTTTGGGGGGTTGGGGAGTTTAGGGTTCAGGGTTCAGGGGGTTTTGCGGTTTAGGGTTTATAGGGGTGCTTGTCATTTTGCAGACCTGAAGGTTCGGAACTTTGTGGGGGGTCTTGGAGTTTGCACTTCAAGCAAGCCTGTCCGCTGCTTACCGGTGCTTCTTTGTCATATTTGCACAGGCTTGTGCGTTCCCAAAGATGGCCTCGCCCTGCCCCCCTCCTCCCCCCCCTCTCTTTGTGAGTGCCCCAAGCAGAAGGTCCTTCAGCCCCCCCAAAAACCCTAAAATCCTAAAACCTCACCGCCCCGGCCCCCCCCCCCCTCCCAACCCCCCAAGTCTCGAGGCAATACACCAAAACCATAGCAAGCAGAACAACTACGAACCCCTGGGTTTAGGGCAAGACTGAGGGTTGACCGTAGGGATTCAGGGTTAGGGCGAAGCCCTAACCCTTAATCCCTCAAACCACAAACCCCTACGACCCCTGTACCTAACACCCTCAACCCTGAACTCCACATGAAGCGCTAAGCCTTTTACCCTATATGCGCATACACCCGCAACCCCCAGCCCTAGTTCGCTCGTACTGTAACACCCGCAAGACTCCCAACACCCCCCCCAATTTTCCCCAATGCCCCAATGCCCCGAGACCCTGCAAATCCCTTAACCCTAAACCCCTAAGCCCCGAAACCCCGCCCTTCAACCCTAAACCCCTAAATCCCCAAACGAGCCCTGAACCCTAAACCCCTACCCCCAACCCTAAACCCCAAAACCCATATTCTAAACCCAAAACCCAAAGCCCTAAACCCTAAACCCTGAACCCCTCACCCCCTACACCCCCAAGCCCTTCAACCGCGAGGTTGGGATGAACTCCGGGACACGGTGCGGCTGCTGGTAGACTTGGCCTGCTGCTTCGACCAGTCTGGCTTGGCCACTTGGGAGCCCACTTAACCTTCGGGGTTTAGGGTTTAGAGCTTTGGGTTCAGGGTTTAGAGTTTGGAGTTTAGGGTTTAGGGTTTAAGGCTTAGGGTGTACGCGCACGAGGAGTGCGCGATTTAGATTTAGATTTAGGGGCGCACTCCCCATCGCGCGCTCGCGTAGCTTAGTACCCCCAACCCCCCCACCCCAACTATTCGCTTTCACGGTTTAGTGTTCTACCTCCAACACCCCCCGCCCCCCCTAGGAAGGGGGCTTTCTTGTTTTTTTTTGTCAAAGGCAAGGGCGGGGGGGGGGTGGGCGGGGGGGGGTAAAGGCCTCGACCGACCCTGCTCTGGGAGCCACCACGACATAGGGTTTAAGGGTTAGGGCTTAGGACCTCTTGAGAGCCAACGAGCATCCGCAAACGAGGGTTAAGGGTTTGTAGGTTTTTCAGGTTACAGGGTTTGCTTTTGTCTTTTTTAGGGTTTAGGCTTGGTAATTAGCGTTGAGAGTTTAAGGTTGCTTTAGGCCCTGAGCCCAACACCCATGTGTATGTAGTTTATAAAGAAAATAAATACAAATATAAAAGGAAAGAATAGATAGATATATAAATAAAGAAAAAGAAAAAATATATATATATATATATATATACACATGTAGTTATATACGTATATATATATATATATATATATATATATACACACATACTCTAAAGCCGCTGATGCCGAAACCCTGAATCAAAAAACTCCTCTGGACTTGGCAGCCCAGTGGTGCCCTCTTGCCCCTTTTATGGGTTCAAGGTCTCCTTGTAAAGCAGCCAATACCCTTTTGGGGGAGTCTTATGATAATTTGGTTTAGGGTTTAGGGTTTAGGGTTTAGGGTTTAGGGTTTAGGGTTTAGGGTTTAGGGATACTGGGCTACCAAGTGAAGGACGTCTTCTTCCTGAACCGCGGCCGTTTGGATGGCGTCAAAAGCTCTACGGACCCACGGCTGGTCGCTGGGCTTCACAGGTTCTTAGACCCTAAGCCCGAAACCCGAAACCCTAAACCCGAAACCCGGAACCCTAAACCCTAAACCCTAAACCCTAAACCCTAAACCCTAAACCCTAAACCCTAAACCTTAAGCCCTAAACTTCCAGCCCTAAACCCGAAACCCTAACCCCTAAACCCTAAGCTCTAAACCCTGAACCGGGTTCAGGGCTCTAGCAGGGAACCCTTGCTTAGAAGGGACCCTCGAATCCGACTACCCTGCATTGACCCCCAATCCCTAAACCCTAAGCCCTAAGCCCTAAACCCTAAACCCTCAACCCTAAACCCTAAACCCTCAACCCTAAACCCTCAACCCTAAGCCCCAAGTAGCCGCTCTACGTCCTCGAGGTCTCCAAAAGTCCCTCCTTTCGAGCCTTGATCTGAGGGTTTTTGGCTGGAGGCTCAGGCTTTTCATCCCTAAACCCTAAACCCTAAACCCTAAACCCTAAACCCTAAACCCTAAACCCTAAACCCTAAACCCTAAACCCCAAACCCTAAACCCTAAACCCTGAACCCTGAACCCTAAACCCTGGTGGGTGGCCCCAGGTGGCGGCCTTCCAAGAAAAAGCCTCGGGCACCACGCCGCTGACGGAGACGCTGAGCAAAGTAGCCCAGGAAGTTGCAGGCGCGAGGGTTTAGGGTTTAGGGTTTCGGGTTTAGGGTTTAGGGTTTAGGGTTTAGGGTTTCGGGTTTAGGGTTTCGGGTTTAGGGTTTAGGGTTTAGGGCTTGGGGTTTGAGGTTTGGGGTTTGGGGTTTTGGGTTTGGGGGGGTGGGGTTTGGGGTTTAGGTTTCGGGTCTAGTGGGTTCCGCGTCCCAAATCGAAGAAGGGTTTAGGGTCTGGGGGTGCAGGGGTTTAGAGGTTTAGGAGTGTAGGGCTGTAGAGTTTAGGCGGGGCTTGAAGTTCAGGGGTTTCGGGCTTCGGGTGTGTGCGGTTTCGGCCCCTTACAAGACCTACAGGCAGCTATCTCTATCCAGAGAGCCCAGTACCTCTTTCGCAACCCCTCAACCTCCTAACCTCCTACCACAAAACCCCGAAACCCCAAACCAAACGAAGCCCAAGCCAAATGCATGATGTTCAGCTCTGGGGCGAACACAGATCGGGTTCTCTGCTGTTTGGACTTAGGGTTTGAGCTTAGGGGTTTCGGGGTTTAGGGGTTTAGATTCGAGGTTCAGGATTCCTAACAACCTGAGACCCAAAATCCGAAACCCTAAGCCCTAAACTCTAACCCTAAACCCTACAGTCCCTGTCAGGAGAGCGGCCAGTGTTACTGATGATCTTCACCGACGGGGAGCCAAACGGCGGTGCCCGGAAGTTTGAGAACGAGCTCACACAGCTGGTCACCAAGAAGAGCAGCACGGCTCCAGCGCTTGAGGGTTTCAGGGTTTAGGGGTTTAGGGTCTAACCCTAACCCTAACCCTAAACCCTAAACCCTAAACCCTAAACCCTAAACCCTAAACCCTAAACCCTAAACCCTAAACCATAAACCCCTACATAAGACTTTTTGGGTTCCCTTCACAGGGAAGCTGACGGCTTCCAGTTCTAAACCGTCAGACGCAACACCCCTAAACCCTAAACCCTAAACCCTAACCCTAAACCCTAAACCCTAAACCCTAAACTCTAAACCCTAAACCCTAAACCCTCAACCCTAAACCCTCAACCCTAAACCCTAAACCCTTGTGCAGGCACCAGGGGCACTTTCAAGGTTCAAATCATGGCCTGCACCGACGACGAGGCCTTATCTCCGAAGCGCGCAGGGGGCTGTAGAGGGTTTAGGGTTTAGGGTTTAGGGTTTGGGGTTAGGGGTTTAGGGTTTAGGGTTTGGGGTTTAGGGTTTAGGGCTTCGGGCTCAGATGCAGGGGGAGGGGACCTTGCCTCGTAGCAACCCCGATAGAGCTGAAAGTCGACTCCTTAAGGCTGTGTGGAGGTGGTTGAGTCTAAGCTCCGAAGACGAACCCTAAACCCTAAACCCTAAACCCTAAACCCTAAACCCTAAACCCTAAACCCTAAACCCTAAACCCTGAACTCTGAGATCCTCAAAGGGAGCCTGAATGAACCCCAGGGAGCCTGAATGAACCCCAGGGTGCGGGGTTACTAGGACCTCCCCTGTCCTTCAGCCCTCAAACCCCAACCCTCAAAAGCCCCCCAACCCTCAAAAGCCCCTAGTCGACACGCCTAAAAGCCCTCCGAAATCCCTAACCCCGTAAACGCTGGACGCTCCTTTCGTCAGGATGCTGTGGGCTACTTGAACGTGATTGACAAGAACTTCGACGCGGTGGACGTGACGGACGACTACTACAGCCTCGTGGCTGTTTGTAGGGTTTAGGGTTTAGGGTTTAGGGTTTAGGGTTTAGGGTTTAGGGTTTAGGGTTTAGGGTTTAGGGTTTAGGGTTTAGGGTTTAGGGTTTAGGGTTTAGGGTTTAGGGTTTAGGGTTTAGGGTTTCTTTGTGTGCATAGGGTCTGAGGATGTCAAGTTTCGGGATTCAGGGCTGTAGGGTCTAGGATGCAGGTTTGGGTTCCCTGTTGCCAGTAGAAAGAAGATGCGCTGTTTTTGGCTGAGTGTTGCTCGGCCGTATTGCTTTGGAGACCATCTTTCAGAATGTGGCTCGTCAGAGGCCAGGAAAGTTTGACTCAATGTCGTTGGTAGCCCAGTGATACGTTCTGCTAGCCCTTTTCGGGTTCATGGTTCCCTTATAAAGTAACTAACCCCAGGAAGAGGGTACCCTTATTACAATATGCTTACTCGGCTAGCAAGTAAGAGAACGCAGCTGCAGAGGGCCCGCTATGGCCTTCCCTGCTCAAGACTAGGTTGATCATCACCCCCTAGGCCTTGGGATGTTCCCCCTTGTGCTAACAGTCCTAGGGAATCTAGTACACCCGACAATCATCCCTATTAAGGACTGTTCGTATAAGGGGGATCATCCCAACCTGACTGCATTTCGGAAAGCAGTGCGTGGTTGGTTGTGGGATGGGGTGGGGTGGGGTGGTAACCCGCAAAGGGGCCACCACTTGATGAACTTGCCGTGTCTGTGGACTGCCGCGCGAAGTTCATTGAGCGCTTTCGTTGGATCAGCTCCAGACCCCAAGCACCCCAAGCGCGAAACCCAACGCTCAGGTGAGAAGAACGAGGTCCTGGTGAAGGCCACTGTTACCGCCTAAACAGATTTCGGGGGCCGGGAATACGTGCTAGCATTTTAAAATGTGTTGCGGCTGTTGTCAATGTGGTATGCGGTTGCTCTTCTTATCCTGCCACGCTCTTCATGTTCCTGTTCGGCTCTTCTGGAAAACCCCTTGCCCTCTTTGCAAAGGCCAAGAGGCGTGAGGCTTTCACTCGTGGCGACTGGCTGCTGAAAGCCATGCTTGGTCCCGTTTCCAGCAAGTTTGACCAATGGGACGAAGGCAAGCAGAGCCCCAGCTCCAGTCAGGGTAACAAGGGTTTAGGGTTTAGGTTTAGGGTTTAGGGTTTAGGGTTTAGGATTTAGGGTTTAGGGTTTAGGGTTTGGGGTCGAGAGCAACCGCTTGCTTCCCCAGAATGAACATACCCGAGCTAAGTAGGGTTTTGTAGGAGATGTAAGTTGGGATGTTCCGCCTTAACAGGGATTATCGCACCCCCTATTATAATCCTTATTAAGGACTGTTAGTATAAGGGGGAGCATTCCAAGTCTAAGGTTTTCGGGGGTTGAGGGCCGAGGCAAACAGTGCCACAGTTGGTTTTGGTAAGCCCCTGAGAACCCCGTGGCGAATCTCCCAAAGCCCTCCCAACCTTTAGGGCTTAGGGTTTGGGGTTTAGGGCCTGGAGTTTAGGGGCTGGGTTTCGGGTTCAGGGATTAAACCCCCTTGGGCGAACACTTAAACCTCTAAACAACAACCCGGAACGCTCACAGCACCAAGATTCACTTGTTGATGATTGGGAATGAAGGAATCGTAACAAAGAGTAGCTCCGCGCAACACCAGAGCTGTAGGAACTCTACCCCTCCTCGCATTCTTTCAATCCCTACTAACCTACAGGAAGTTCAGGGTTTAGGGTTTAGGGTTTAGGGTTTAATTAGGGTTTAGGGTTTAGGGTTTAGGGTTCAGAGTGCTTATAGGACCTTGAGCTGTGGGATGCATGGTTCAAGTGTCCCAAGTGTCCCAGGTGTTCCAAGGGCCCCAGGGGGCTTAAGCATCCCAAGTGGCCGAGACGATCCAGGTGTAATAGGGTTTAGGGTTTAGGGTTTAGGGTTTAGGGTTTAGGGTTTAGGGTTTAGGGTTTAGGGTTTAGGGTTTAGGGTTTAGGGTAAGTCCTAAACTCAACTTCTGTGCCTCCAGGGCAGAATCCTTGAGCAGAACGTGCTTGAAGGTTTAGGGTGTCGCGTTTGGATTCATACGCGGGATTCGAAGTAAACCAAAGTAGGGTTTGAGCTAAGTGCTAACTATCTAAGAACCCCTGACTTCTAAGATGAACCCAAATCCCTGAGCCCCTAAGCCCTAGAGGCCCTAGACCCCCACAGCCCCAAAGCCCAAAAGTCGTGAAGCCCCATCTCGATCTGGGGCTCAATTCAAGTACTTCGCGCCCTTTTGGTACACCGAACGATATGAAACATAGGCTCTGACGGGGATCCCACAAGGGCCCCATAGCCCCCCCGAGCCCGAAACCCGACGGCCGAAATGCAAGGAAGACCTCAGACGTCTCCAGCAGCCAGGCGGGTCGAACGAGGAAGGAAGGTCTTGACCTGAACTTAACGGTTCGGGTTTAGGGGTTTAGGGTTTAGGGTTTAGGGTTCGGGGTTTAGGGTTTAGGGTCTTGAGTGAATCATCCAGCAGGTTTAGTGTCTAAGGGCAAGGGGCGCGCGATCCTGAATCTCCGGTTTTGAAGTTTTTAGAGCAGTTGTTTAGCAGTTGCGGAGTGCTTTCAGGCTGCAGCCTTTAGGGTTGCAGCCTCCTCTTCCTGGGGAGCAGGCCTGGTGAAGGTGCATTCGTATGGGGAAAGATCGAGTTCCTTAAGGTCCTGCCTGCCTGGGTTTAGGGTTTAGGGTTTTGGGTTTAGGGTTTAGGGTTTAGGGATTTAGATTAGGGTTTAGGGTTTAGGGTTTAGGGTTTAGGGTTTAGGGTTTAGGGTTTAGGGCAAGCATGTAACCCTTAGCGTTTACACCACTCAAGATGCACAGATCCCCATCTGGTGAAGGCTCATCTTTTCCAGCATGTTGGGCTTGCCCGGGTTTAGGATTTAGGATTTAGGGTTTAGGGTTTAGGGTTCAGGGTTTAGGGTTTAGGGTTTAGGGTTTCTGGTTCCAGCTCTGGATGAAAGTACGAACACAGCCGTGGTGTTTGAAGGGCCCGCCTCTCAGCGCCACAGGGAACCTTGCCGCATGTCTGGAAGGATTCGGGATGGCTAGCTACCTATTTCCGAAGAAACCAAAACCAAACCCTAAAAGCTCTGGACCCTAAACCTAAACCGTCAACCCTAAGCCCGAAGCCCTAAGCAAAACCCTCATGAGCCCTAAGCCCACAATCCCAATCCCCGGAGCCTCCAAGACCGCTTGGCCCAGCAAGGTGTGCGCGATCCTTTGAATCGGCGGTCGAACGGCTCTGTGAGAGTTTAGGGTTTAGGGTTTAGGGTTTAGGGTAGGGTTTAGGGTTTAGGGTTCAGGGTTCAGGGTTCAGGGTTTAGGGTTTAGGGTTTTGGGGTTTAGGGTTTGGGGTTGAGGGTTTAGGGCTCAGAGGCCCCTTGGGGCCTCTGGGGCCTTGTAGCCTTTAAGGGCCTTCAGGGCCTTTAGGGGGCTTGGGGGCCTTTGGGGGGCTTAAGAGGCTTAGGGGGCCTCTAGGGGAAGGGTAGGATAGTAGGGTTTCGTAAGCCTCATTTCCTAGCCCAACCCCTAACCCCCCCAAAGAGCCCCAAAAAGCCCCCTCGAAGAAGAGCAGCACCCGCGGAATCCAAAGAGACTTCCTTGCGTGTCACCCCGTGGACTTTGCAGCCTGAGGATGCTCCGCGAATGATGGGAAGTGTGGCGATGGCGTGCGAATGTCAGCAGCAGCTCCAAGAGTAGGAAAAGGGAACGGGTGCAGTGCATGTAGTCCCTAAACCCTAAACCCTAAACCCTAAACCCTAAACCCTAAACCCTAAACCCTAAACCCTAAACCCTAAACCCTAAACCCTAAACCCTAAACCCTAAACCCTAAACCCTAAACCCTAAACCCTAAACCCTAACTCTAAACCCTAAACCCTAAACCCTAAACCCTAAACCCTAAACCCTAAACCCTAAACCCTAAACCCTAAACCCTAAACCCTAAACCCTAAACCCTAAACCCTAAACTGCCGAGAGCGCCGCTGTCCATATGCATGGGCGCTCGAGGCTTCGACCGAGGTCCCCGACCGAGCGTCTCCAAAGAACGGTGAGGGAGGGTAAAGCCTCCCGGTAGACGAGACGGCAGTGACTGGCTACGCCTCAGACCTAGGGCGTCAGCCCTAATATAATTAGGACCCCAAACCTCGCACCATTGGCGTGTTTTAGTGTTTTCGGGGGGGAATTCCGGGGCCCTGAGCTGGCAGATTCCGGGCCCCCCCCTTCTGGGCCGGTCCAGGGGGCTCCTGCACCGATTTTGCCTCCGATCCTTGTTTTCGGCTTTGGACCCTCCTACTGGGAACCGCCTGGGACCGCCTGGGACCCCCTGGGACCCCTTGGGACGTTCCTGGGACCGCCTGGAGGGCCTCTGAGGGCCTGTCATGTCAGAGCTAAAACCGCCCCGGGATCCTGAAACCGTGGGACCCTATCCAGGATTTGCCCAGACGCGCAAGAAAATGTGGGTTTTTTAGTATTGCATGGTTTTGGGCACCCTCCATTTTAAAAAGCAGGGGCCGGCCGAGGCCCCTGCTACCCCCGACCGTTTTTGCTGCCCTTTCAAGCCCGAAAATGTGGGTTTTTTGTATTGCAATTGACGGTTTTGGGCATCCATTTTACTCCGTGAAAGCTCCAAGAAGCCTACGAGCCACTGACAGGCTCCATGAAGCTCGGGAGACCCCGCCCTGCTCTTTCTCTGCAAAAAGCAAGAAAGCCCCCCTTGAGGGGGGTTTGGGGGGTGAACCCTAAACCCTAAATGATAATAGTTTGGGTGGTTGGGGTGGGACTACATGCTAACGCAAGCGAGCGGCCCGGGTGCTTTTAGCACCAGCGAGCTTCCCTTCTATACACCCTAAACCCGAAACCCTAAACCCTAAAACCTAAAACCCTAAACCCTAAAACCCTAAACCCTCAACCCTAAACCCTAAACCCTAAACCCTAAACCCTAAACCCTAAACCCTAAACCCTAAACCCTAAACCCTAAACCCTAAACCCTAAACCCTAAACCCTAAACCCTAAACCCTAAACCCTAAACCCTAAACCCCAAACCATGCCTCAGCAACATTCGCGGATCGAGTCGCCTCTTTGTCCTTTCTCACCACGCGTGCGAGCCATGCCTCAGGCGGGCACCCTGTGCCCTGTACACCCTAGCAAGGGTTTAGGGTTTAGGGTTCAGGGTTTAGGGTTTAGGGTTTAGGGTTGAGGGTTGAGGGTTGAGGGTTAGGGTTTACGGTTTAGGGTTAAGGCTTAGGGTTTAAAGTTTCGAGGTTCCACTCGGAAACCCTAACCCTAAATCGTGAACCTTCTGAACCCTTCGAAGGCTTCTATGACCTACGACCCATCGGGTGACGAGCGCACGCTGGCTCGGGAGCAGGAGAGGCATGTGGACTGTTCAGGCTTTCGGCGTGTTAGGGGTTGAGGTCTTGGAGGGCTTCAGGGGTTATCTTGGGTTTAGAGTTTTGTTTGCGTGCGTGGTGTTTTAGTTTTTGGCGGAGGGGGGGGCACCCCCTAGACCGTAAACCCTAAACCCTAAACCCTAAACCCTATACCCTAAACCCTAAACCCTAAACCCTAAACCCTAAACCCTAAACCCTAAACCCTAAACCCTTGACCCTTAAACCCTAAACCCTCAACCCTAAACCCTAAACCCTAAACCCTAACCCTAAACGCAAAACCCTAAACCCTAAACCCTAACCCCTAAACCCTAAACCCTAAAGCCTAAACCCTAAACCCTAAACCCCAACAAACCCTAAGCCCCAAACCCCGGCCAGGAGGGCCTAGTGAGCGGGCGCATGCAGGAAGCCAGCGGCCAGGGCAAGGCGTTTAGGGTGTAGGGTGTAGGGTTTAGGTTTAGGGTTTAGGGTTTAGGATTTAGGGTTTAGGGTTTAGGGTTTAGGGTTTAGGGTTTAGGGTTTAGGAGTTTGAGGGGTTTCGAGGTTTTAAGTTTTAAGGGCTTGAGGGGTTTAGAGGTTTTAAGTTTTAAGGGTTTGAGGGGTTTGGAGGTTTTAAGTTTTAAGGGCTTGAGGGTTTTGGAGGTTTTAAGTTGTAAGGGTTTGAGGGTTTTGGAGGTTTTAAGTTGTAAGGGTTTGAGGGTTTTCGCTTATCCGCAACGGGCTTGACCGTTGTCAGGGTGTAGGCTCATATGGGGTGCACCCCCCTTGAAGGGGGTCCTGGATTCTTCAGGATACCCTAAAACCGTAAACCCTCAACCTGTTCGGGGACGCTGGGATTTTTGGGGTTTGGGTGCGCTCAGTGATTTGAAGTCTCGGGCCTAAAACCCTCAACGCGGGCAGTCCTAAACCCCAGGGTTCAGGGTTCAGGGTTTAGGGTTTAGGGTTTAGGGTTTGGGGTTTAGGGTTTAGGGTTTAGGGCCAATCTTCCAGCGTGAAATCATGTACCCCCCCCATTCGATGGTTGTCGGTTGAGGGTTTATGTTAGAGGATTGAGCCCTAAACCCTAAACCCTCAACCCTAAACCCTAATGTTCAGGGCGTTGCCCTAAAGCCCTAAACCCCAAACTCCAAGCGCTAGTTTCTCCTTTTCGGGATGATATGGCCAAAATAAGCTGCTGTTTTCTCACGAACCAAAGTGCCGAATCTTGAGCCCTGAAACCTCCAGGGGGTGGTGCGGGTCCCTGTTTGGGTCCCCTATATGATAACTTCTCTAGATTTGGTTCCCTTTGAGGTTACTACTATGAGGCGGCCCCGAATATTTAGGATGCCCACAACAGGCACCAGAATTCTGAGAACTGACCATGTGGTACGAAAAGCAGGACCCCCAAAAAAGGGACCTTGAAAATGGAGAAATGTCCCTCTACCCCTAAAGCCGAAACCCTCGACCCTAATCCAAAACTCTAAACCCTGAACCCTGAACCCTAAACCCTAAACCCTAAACCCTAAACCCTAAACCCTAAACCCTAAACCCTAGACCCTAGTTCAACCCTCAACCCTACACATCCAGGTGGTCATCCGCACTGTGGCTGCCATTTCGGGCCTGGCCGCAGTCCTTGCGGTCGCCTGGACAGCAACGGGGCTGGGGGTGGGGTTGGGGATTCAGGCTGAACCCTAAACCCTAAACCCTAAACCCTAAACCCTAAACCCTAAACCCTAAGCCCTAAACCCTAAACCCTAAACCCTAAACCCTAAACCCTAAACCCTAAACCCCAGACCCTAAACCCTAAACCTTAAAACCCTGAAGAACTAGCAACAGAAAAAAGACTCCAAAGCCCCAACCGCCCCCCCCCCCCCCCCCCCCCCCCCCCCCCCCCCCCCCCCCCCCCCCCCCCCCCCCCCCCCAAAAAAAAAGACACGGTACAAGGCTCTTCGGCCTAAAGAGCCTTGAAGTGCTTGGAAGCGGGTTTAGGGCTTAGGGTTTGCTAAGACCTTAAAACCTTGAAGCGCTGAGTTATGAAGACTATGGTATTCAGTTGCGAAGAGCGTTGAATATGCAGTATAGCTTAAATCCCCAAGCTCCACAAGCCCTAAGCCACAGGGATAGGGTTTAGGGCTTAGGGTTTAGGGTTTCGGGTTTAGGGTTGGGGTTGAGGGTTCCTCTCTTTTTTTGGGGGAGGATGGGGCGCCTCCCTTGGGCGGGAGCTTGGAGCTTTGGTCCCTGGCGATAAACCCTTGGATCCCTAAACTCTAGGAGCCCTGAACCCTCTTCATCCGGAGGGGTGGGGCAGGGGGGTCCCTAAACCCTAAACCCTAAACCCTAAACCCTAAACCCTAAACCCTAAACCCTAAACCCTAAACCCTAAACCCTAAACCCTAAATTTAAGAGCCTCCGGCTCAAGCCGCGGACCCCGCTAGAGCATAGTTGAAAGGTTTAAACGCGCTCGTCAGCTCAAAGGATGCCAAAAGTTGATTTGCTTGAGCCTCTGTGAAACATTGGGGGGGGGGGGGGGGGGGGGGGGTAGCACCAGGACTCAAACAGGGGGGGTAGGGGGGCGTACCAGGGTAGGGGGGGGAGGGTGGGAGGGGGGGGGGTGGGGGGTGGGTGGTTTGGGAACCCTATGTCCTGTGCGAAACCGCGTATGGTCCGTGAGTTTATGCGGTGTGGGTGGCCTGGCCCTCCATGGAAAAGCCCGGGTACCCCCCGGGAGGTTTTCACCTCCTTTTCCCATCCAACACGCCGCCAGGGTCGGCGGACCCTAAACCCTAAACCCTAAACCCTAAACCCTAAACCCTAAACCCTAAACCCTAAACCCTGAACCCTAAGCCCTAAACCCTAAACCCTAAAACCACCTTAAACCCTGAACCCTGAACCCCGAACCCTAAACCTCTCAGAGGTCTTCCACTTCGGCAATGGTTTCGGCACCGTCCTCCGCGGCACGAAGAGCCAGATGGCATCCCCGCAGCCTGCGTGGATCTATGCGCCCCTGTAGCCCTAAACCCTAAACCCTAAACCCCAAACCCCAAACCCCAAACCCTAAACCCTAAACCCTAAACCCTAAGCCCTGAACCCTAAACCCTAAACCCTTAACCCCAAACAACCCTTAGCCCGAAAAACGAAACCCTTACAGGGCTTCTAGGGTGTCTAAGGTATTTAGAGTGGCTAGGGCTGTTCAGAGTTCCGTAGACTCTACACCCTAAACCCTAAACCCTAAACCCTAAACCCTAAACCCTAAACCCTAAACTCTAAACCCTAAACCCTAAATCCATACCTCTACCAGCCCTAGGTTCTTTGGCTTTGCAGGTTGTCTTTAATGTCGCCAAGGCTCCTGAAGCCCGTTACAGCCCTAAACCCTAAACCTAAACCCTAAACCCTAAACCCTAAACCCTAAACCCTAAACCCTAAACCCTAAACCCTAAACCCTAAACCCTAAACCCTAACCTAAACCCTAAACCCTAAACCCTAAACCCTAAACCCTAAACCCTAAACCCTAAACCCTAAACCCTAAACCCTAAACCCTAAACCCTAAACCCTAAACCCTAAACCCTAAACCCTCAAGCTTGAGCCCAAGGAGCCGGAAACCCTTAGGCTCCTGAATCCCAAGGATACAGTTGGAAGAGAGTTGCGACCGTGCCGCTGACAAGGTGCGCCGGCGTCCGCCAATTCGCAGTTCTTGGGACGTTTTTGGGCTTTTGGGCTTTTGGGATATCAGTCGGGAGTTAGGTCGGTTTGGGGTTGAAGGGTTAAGGGGTGTTTGGGGTTAAAGGGTTTAGGGTTAAAGGGTTGGGGGTTTGGGGGCTTAAGATTTGGGGTGTGGGGTGCGGGGGGCGTCCTCTGAAGTCTGCCTAAGCCCTAAACCCTATACGATTTAGCCCAGGACCCAGAGTAGGCCCTTATTCCCGCTTTTGGGGTTTAGGTTCCCTTATAAGCCCCATTAAACCAAAAAGGGTACCCTTTTTATCATCAGCTTAATCGTGGGTTTAATTTCCCCAAGCCCTAAACCCTAAGCCCTAAGCCCTAAATCCTAAACCCTAAACCCTAAACCCTCAACCCTCAACCCTAAATCCTAAACCTGAAACACTAAACCCTAAACCCTAAACCCTAAACCTTAAGCGTGGGTCTTAGTAGCCTCTAGACCCTGAATCCCAGGTGCAGCTCAAGGATGTCATTGAGCAGCGTGGCTTTCCGCTGTGCGTCAAGGTGGCCGACGTGTCCCGGCTTCTTCGCAAACCCTACACCTTAAACCCTAAACCCTTAAACCCTTAAACCCTAAACCCTAAACCCTGAACCCTAAACCCTAAACCCTAAACCGCCTACACAGACATACACACATACACACACACATATAGCTATATATAGCTATATATATATGTGTATATATTATTATTATTATTATTATTATTATTATTATTATTATTATTATTATTATTATTATTATTATTATTATTATTATTATTATTATTATTATTATTATATATGTATGGCCGCCCCCCTCTACGACGAACACTGGTCTTGAAACAACTCTCAATAGCGATTGAAGCGCAGTTTCTCTAAGATCAAAATGATTCCCGGAGGGCGCCGATCTCTCCTGGTCAGCAGCCCTAAAACCAAAACCGAAAGAACACACCTCCAGAAAAAAGTCTCAGAACTCGTTGTTGGTTTTGTTTGTGTTGTTCTGGGTTTTTCCTCGAGTTTCTGTGTTTGGTTTCTGGTTGGTGGTTTTCTCTCAGGAATATCAGCCAACACCAAATAGCCTCGAACAAACACAACTCTGGGCGGCCGCAGTGGTTTACATAGGTTGAATAGAAGAGCCGCAGCGCTTTGTGTGAGCCAGGTCGATTACGATACCCCGCCCGATACCCATCAACAGTGCTCAGCATAGCTTGTCCTCGCCCGCGCAGTACGGTCTGACTTGGATAGTGCTGCAGGCATTTGTATATATATATATATATATATGTATATATTTATATTTATATGTATATTTATATTTGTATCTATTTATGTTTATTTATACATGATATACATGTATGTATATACACATACGCATGCAGTCATTCATTCTTGCTCTGGGTTGTTGGAGAGAGCGTAGAGCAAGGTACAGATGCCCCAAGTCCCAGAAACCCTGAATGCCCACACCCCTAAAACCCTAAACCTTAGCAGGGTGTAGGGTTCAGGATTCAGGGTTTAGGGTGTAGGGTTTAGGATGGTTTAGGGTTTAGGGCTTAGGATTTTGGGTTTAGGGTGTAGGCTTTAGGATGGTTTAGGGGTTTGGGGTGTAGGGTTTGGCCACCCGCATTCGTTCGAGCCGAGGTCCACATGCCGCCCCTGCATAAGAAAGACGACAGCTTGAAAGACCTGGACATTATCCGGCATGGATGGGGCTACAGGGCTGGGTTTGAAGGTCCTTTTTTCATTTTCGTTCCCCTATCAAGTCCTTACAAGTCCATAAACAATTGTTTTTTCTAGGGCCCCCAAGCCTACCCCAGGCTACACGTGCCCTGTGGCGAAGATCGGGGTCTTTACCACGTGCTACGAGGCTGGGGCTTTCGGGGGCTTGGTACCTCATGTCCCCAGATTGTTGCTCCAGGTCTTCACCCGCAAACCCAGAAACCCTAGACCCGAAACCCTGTACAAACCCTAAACCCTAAACCTAAACCCTAAACCCTAAACCCTAAACCCTAAACCCTAAACCCTAAACCCTAAACCCTAAACCCTAAACCCTAAACCCTAAACCCTAAACCCTAAACCCCAAATTCTGAACCAAGGTGAAGTGCGAAAAGAAGTCTGTGCAGGACTGGAGCCGGAGAATGCCCCCCCCCCCCCCCCCCCCCCTCGGCCTCAGGGCGCTGGCGGTTTGCGGGGAACTGGGGAATTTGGTTCGGGTTTGGGCTTCCGGGTGGCAGGCTCAGGGTATGAGGCTTCGTGGTTTAGGGCCCTAAACCCTAAACACTAAAAACCCTAAACACTAAAAACCCTAAACACTAAAACCCCTAAACACAAAAAACCCTAAACACTAAAAACCCTAAACACTAAAAACCCTAAACACTAAAAACCCTAAACACTAAAAACCCTAAACACTAAACACCCTAAACACTAAAAACCCTAAACACTAAAAACCCTAAACACTAAAAACCCTAAACACTAAAAACCCTAAACACTAAAAACCCTAAACACTAAAAACCCTAAACACTAAAAAACCCTAAACACTAAAAACCCTAAACACTAAAAACCCTAAACACTAGAAAACCTAAACCCTAAACCCTAAACCCTAAACCCTAAACCCTAAACCCTAAACCCTAAACCCTAAACCCTAAACCCTAAACCCTAAAGCTAGAAGGAGATGGGCGAGCACGCCGCGGACCTGGCCCAGAAACATGTTGGCGGCTTGATGAGTTCCTTGAGCGATGCCCTCACGGGCTCCGATGACAAGGAGGAGAAGGAGAAGAAGAAGAAGGATAAGGCCGCACGGGGGGGGGGGGGGGCAGGTGGGGTTTAGGGCTTAGGGTGTGTAGGGTTTGGGCTTAGCATGCTTAGGGTTTTGGGTTTGTGGAGGTGGCTAGGGACAGAGAGTTCAGGGGGTTGAGGGTTTATTTCGGGCTTGGGGTCTAGGGTCTAGGGGCAGGGTGCACCCTAACCGTGGGATCTTGTATGTGCTCTTTAGAGGAAGATGTCTTATGCACGGACCCCACAAAAGACACTCTGGCCTAGAACCACAGTCCAGACGCTTCTTGCCGTCAGCCGCGGACGCAGCTCCATTAGGGTTTAGGGTTGAGGGTGGAGGGTTTAGGGTTTAGGGTTTAGGACATGGGCCGGCTTCGAACTCTAAACCGCAAACTAGCGCCACGCAACGCACCTTGGACCAACATCCTCACCCGCGAGCCCTAAGCCCTAAAGCCAGGCCCCAAATCCCCCGAACCCCCAAACCCCAAAACCCTAGACCCGAAACCCTAAACCCTAAACCCCAAACCCTAACCCTAAACCCTAAACCCTGAACCCTAAACCCTGAACCCTGAACCCTAAACCCTAAACCCTAGACCCACCCCAAACCGAACTCCCCAAGCCCATGAGGACATGCCCGACACCGACCTGGGCGCGACCGTGAAGAGCGCGTGGAACTCGATGCTGAGCGACTCTAACGAGCCTTCGCTCAAGTCATTCGTTGAGGGTTTCGGGTTTAGGGTTTAGGGTTTAGGGGGGATTCAGGGGTTAGGGGGTTCGCGCTTTGAGGGTTCAAGGGTTTGGGGCGTCGAAGCGGCGGGCTGAGGGCAGGGGAGCAGGGTTGTGGAGGCTTTGGGGTTGCGAGAAGCCCAAAACCCCAAAAACCCAGATGGAGCGTGTTCCATGGGACTCCATCCTAACCCCTAGACCCTAGACCCTAAACCCTAAACCGTAAACCCTAAACCCTAAACCCTAAACGACCCTAAACCCTAAACCCTAAGCCCTAAACCCGAAACCCTAAACCCCAAACCCTCAACCCTTAACCCTAAACCCTAAACCCTAAACCCTGAATCCTAAACCCTAGACCCCAAACACAAATCCCACACAAAGCTGGGTACGCCGGCCCAAACCCCTACACACCCCTCATCTGCAAAGCCGTGTTTGGGTTTAGGGTTTAGGGTCTAGGGTCTAGGGTTTAGGGTTTAGGGTTTAGGGTGTAGGGTTTAGGGTTTAGGGTTTGGGGTTTAGGGCTTAGGGTGTGGGTTGAGGTTTTGGGGTTTCGGGCCAGTCACGGCGTGAGACCAAGGAGAAGGACGTTTGCATCGGTAGCCGGAAGGTTCACGTGTGGCCTGTTACTGAATGATCGTCCAGTTTGAATGACAATTCGCCAGAGCCCAGCTTTCAATAGGTGTGAAGAATTGTCCAGGTATGTAGCCCTCTGAACTGCAAGCCATTTCTGCGTTTGCTTGCGATGCTTTCATGGCTTCTGCACGCAGCTTCCTGTGCATAGCAGCGCAACACGTTGCTGGGTATGGCGGTTTGCAGCATGGCTTCACACCAGCCCTGGTCGATGAGAAAGGTTCATAGGGTTAGAGCCACCTCAAGAACCCAAAACCCAAAACCCTGCATTGACTTTGGTCTGAATCTTAGGAGGTTTAAGACAATGTAGTGCGTCGATCCCGCTGTGGGGCCCTTGACATGGGTTTTCCTGCGCTCTTGGTGGCCCCCGTCCTAAACCCTAACCCGTAAACCCTAAACCCTCAACCGTCGTGTTCAGCCGGGGCCCCTTGCTTTTCGGAAGCACCCATGTCAAGATGCTGTGCTGGAGTGTTGTGATGCTGCAGATATGTGGGGGTTCATTCAAAATTATGGGCCGCTTCTCGCAGTTCAGCCGAGAAGGCACAGACGAGAAATAGAGACGTCGGATTTTTGCCCGTCAGTTTGATCAATCCCCAGGAAGACTCTGTTTAACCAGAGTTCGAACTGCCGGCACGGTTTCGTTGGTGCTCTTGCAGTGTACCTGTCGCTGCAGAAGCCTAAGGGAACGCGGGCCAGTTTCCAGCCCTTGCTTGTCGACATCCCCCATTCGCTGACAGAGGAGAAACAAACCCGGAGCGTCGGTTCTGATTTCGGAAGCACTCTTGCTATAGGCGTACTAGTAGAGCAGTACTCGTAGTGGCAGAGTTCCGAAAAGCACCACTGCGCCTGGTTTTATGGGGCTTCGGTCCCTTTTCTGAAGCCCTGCACTGCTGAGTGTCACCTCAGGAAAGGCATCTGCACATTCGATGGCAAAGCACCTCGCATCCCACACTGTCGGAGTGGTCCCCCTTCCCCTCCTCTTCCCCTCTTCAAGAAGCTACTAGAATTGAGCACCTGCCATGGGCTGCTGTGCGAGCGCCGCATCTAGCGCCGCCTCCACTGTCGTGGGCCTGCCGTCGAGTTTGGTCTCGCACCTTGGTGGCAGCAGAGCCCTAAGCCCTGGTTGCCTCAGTGACTTGTGATCTTTGGTGTAGACTTTCTGATCTAATTGCGGCAGAACCGTTGCGTTGGGCTATACATTGTGGTCTTGAAGTCATAAAAGGTTTGGCTCAAGCGGTCTCAAACTACGCGGAAAGGTGTATTATACACAATGATGCGGCCCATACGCAAGCCAAAGAAACAAATCCTGCTGGCAAGCAAGTAATCAGAAGAACATGGTGCAGGACAAATATCACCCTAAACCCTAAACCCTAAACCCTAAACCCTAAACCCTAAACCCTAAACCCTAAGCCCTAAGCCCTAAACTCTAAACCCGAAACCCAAAACCCAAAGCCCTAAACACTAACCCTAAGCCCTTAGCCCTAAACCCTGAACCCTCAACCCTACTACATTCTTGGGGTTTCCTGTTTGGGGTTTCCATTACTTGGAGGTTCATGGTACTTCTTAACCAACTCTACCTGTACTTATAACCCCCTTAAGTGCCCTAATATGGTTTTCCGTACAGTTACAGTTTTACGTACAGTTATACTTACAGTCATAAGTACAGTTATAAGTAAAGTTATAAGTACAGTTATAAGTACAGTTATAAGTACAGTTATAAGTACAGTTATAAGTACAGTTATAAGTACAGCTATATTTTGGTTAATAAGTACAACCCTAAACCCTAAACCCTAAACCCTTTATATTTTGGTTAAGAAGTACCATGAACCTCCGAGTAGGATCCTTTTATTCCGCAGTGTCCGCTCTCAGAGTGCGGAACCAGGAGTCGATTGGTCTCCACTGAAGTTGGCATGGAGTTTAGGATTTAGGGTTCAGGGTTTAGGGTTCAGGGTTTGAAGGTTTAGGGTTTAGGGCTTAGGGTTTGGGGTTCAGGGTTTTAGGGTTTAGGGTTTAGGGCTTAGGGTTTAGGGTTTAGGGTTTAGGGCTTTTGCCAAATTCGTCTTGCGGTTAGCACAGACCGCCTGTGCATTGCCACCTGCCCTGTCGTGATGTTGACACAGATTGGCAGCAGTGCAGACCACTCCACATCTGAGTAGGCACCGGCGCCCACCTGGTTGTGCCATTTGCTGTTTCTTAGTGCTGAATCCGCACCCTAGGAAGGATAAGGGGGGCCCTTACAAGGGAACCCTTCTTAACCCTCTTCTGTACTCTCTTAAACAGCGACCTTATTCAAGGGTCTATATCCCCAAGGGTCCCCCTAACCCTATCCCCTACACAAGTTTGCTCCAGATTTGTCCGGATGACCGCTTGCAGAAGCCCTACACCCCGAAACTCGCATGTTTAGGTTGTTTAGCTTCCGCTGAACCCTAAACCCTAAACCCTAAACCCCAAACCCAAACCCTAAACCGTAAACCCTAAACCCTCAACCCTAAACCCTAAACCCTAAACCCTAAACCCTAAACCCCTAAACCCTAAACCCTAAACCCTCAACCCTAAACCTTAACCCGGATGCACTCTCTGCGACCCCGAAGGCCCCAGATCCAACACCAAAGCTTCCGCGAAGGGTTTAGGATTTAGGGGCTTAGGGCTTAGGGTTGTAGGGGTTTAGGGTTTAGGGTTTAGGGCTAGGGTTTAGGGTTTAGGGTTTAGGGTTTAGGGTTTAGGGTTTAGGGTTTAGGGTTTAGGGTTTAGGGTTTAGGGTTTAGGGTTTAGGGTTTAGGGTTTAGGGTTCAGGGTCTAGGGTCTAGGAGCTTAGGGTTCAGAACCCTGGGTCCCTACACGGCCCAGAGCCCCTCCCCTCCGGCTCTTGGGGGTATACCCTCCGTAGGAGGGTTTAGGGTTTAGGGTTTAGGGTTTAGGGTTTAGGGTTTAGGGTTTAGGGTGTCGGGTTTAGGGTAGGTACCCGAGATACGGGGAGGGCGGGAACGACCCGCCTGAACTTGTCCTACCCTGAACCCTGGACCTTGAAACCCTGAACCTTAACACCCTCAACCTGCGACCCTAAACCCTCAACCCTAAAACCTTTAATTTGAAGCCCAGGTACTTCCCCAACTACGAGGAGTTCTTGAAGAATAACAAGGCCGGGGGCCCAAGTCTCTGAACATCAGAGCTTCTTCTAAGAGTCAGAGTAGGTCCTTACTCCTTTTTTTGGGGGGGGGGGGGGGGGGGTTTCCTTTCTAAACTTAAGCCAAGAAGGGTATTTACCCTTCTGATTCCTAGGCTACTCTTGCGTCTGGTCTAGTTTTGTTTTAGCTGCTACAGTTTTGTTGGGGTTTTCAGGCTCCGGGGGGCTTACGTTGTTTTGGCTCGTGGTTGAGGTTTTAGCCCTAAACCCCAAACCCTAAACCCTAAAAGCCCACTCCGAAGTCGGAATAAAAAAAGCCAGCGAGCTCAAGACCTTTTAAGTGTGTAGGGTGCAAGCTTAGGAAACCCTAGAACCGAAACATCTTGTTTTCGCCATGTTGATTTCTATTTTCGGGACCCTCCCTTTCGTATCAAGAATCTTCCTGAGTTACTCGTCCTACCTTAAGTCAGTTGCCTTCCGATAATTAAGTGAGCATGTGTTCTAGAGGTCGCTCACAGGGTGGAGCCATTGCAAGAAGAGTCCCTGACAAGGGAGATCCTAACTAAAGGGGGCTTTCCTTTTGGGGAGCCCTTCCTATAGGCCTAGAGTTTAAGTAGCATTCTCCCAGACGCGGTTTTGCCCACAGCTCTTGTGTAGTCGTTGGGTCCTGCGCCGTTTCACAAGCAGGCAGGCAGGATCATAACAATATCGCCCCCTGGAGCTCCCCCAAGGTCTCAAAGTCCAGGCTGTTCAGTATTCGTAATCTTAGCTCAAATGAATATTCTTTTGTTGAGGGGGGGGGGGGCTGCTTGGTAAGCCCCAAGTCCCATCCTGGTTTACCAAATCCCTCTTGCTTTACATCTCGATCTTTTCCTTGCAGGGTACCTAAACCCTAAACCCAAAACCCTGAACCCTAGCCCCTAAACCCTAAACCCTAAACCCTAAACTGCTGGTGTGCTCACGTTTTTCCGGGAAGAAGAGGGTGCATGTCGCTGTCAAGCGGTCCAAGCCCGGTGAAGGGCAACAACGAGGCCCGTGAAGGGCAAGGAAACACATGGCCCGGTGTGGGCACGCAGACGCAGTTTTTACATGTACCAGGCATCGCAGGTATAGCACCTGAACGAGTAAGACCAAGGATTTCGTGTCGTTGCTGTTGTGGAAAAGGGAAATTCGAGTGAGCTCTACAAGCCATGGCCAACCCCTCAGACTCCATGCCTCCTGGGACCTCCGTCCAGGAGGTTATGAGCCCAAGTGGTGCTCGCCCTACTTCGCCGAGAATGACAACAACAGCTGCGGGGCCCGAGAGGGGCCAACCGGGGGTCGTAAGACCAGCTTTGGATGGTGGAGAGGCTCATGGAGCCCAACCGGAGGCCGTAAGGCCGGATGGTGCACTGGAAGCTGGCGGCACTGGTGTGGCTGGAAGTGTGGATGGAGCAATGGTTTCTGGAGATAGCATGGACTCTGGGCATGGTACAAGTGGTCAAGTGGCAAGAGTTCAGGCCTTGGCGCTAGCCTCTGGAGCGGTGGTTGCAGGTGGCATGCAAGCTGTGGTGGCCTCAACCTCAATGACGAGGGAGGTGGAGCCGGCCGGTGAAGCTGGGGACATGGGCATGCTGCGTGATGGCCTGAATAGTGGAGGGCATCAACAACCTGGAGGTTTCAGCTGGAATGCGCAAGGCAGTCCGATGGGAAGAGAGGCACAACCGCGTGGTGCGATGCCGACCTGGGTTTCTCGCCTGGGAGCTTTCTTCCAGGCTATGGGGCAGTCACAGCAGGTGACACCCCCGGAGTGGATGCCGAGTCCCTTTCCGTCGCCTGTGACGAGACCGTCGAGATCGCAGAGGGCGTTGGAGTCACCTATGTCGCATGGGGAACGGGAT